CTGTCCGGAAGAGTGCGTGTGAATCCCATACGGGAGCTCGGCGCCTGCGAACCTCGGGGTAGGCCACACCGCACTACATGCGTGCGCTGCAGGCGAGATGTTGCCTACCTACCAGGCGCTTTCAGAGCTCGCAGCGGGAGAATTCCGCCAAATAGCGCGGCTGAAGGACGAACTTATTTGGTCGGTTCCTTTTTATAGTAACGTCAACCGTCGCCCGCTTGACATCGCTCGACATTTCACATAAAACATTTAAGTGACACGATGACACACGAACACACGTCACACGTCGGTATGAACACGTCTGCGAAGTATTTTTGTATTTTCCCGCCCCACAGCGGTGAGCACGCGCGGGCGCTGGCCCTACCTGTGGGTCGCCACCATCCTCCACGGCCTGGTCATCGAGTCCCTCTCTTACTTCCTGCCCGACGTCGACAACTTCTGGCACTCGCAGACGCCACTCATATTCCTGGGCCGACGCCTTCCACTGCACATCGCCTTCCTATGTAAGTAGTCGTCTTTTTAAGTATATATATATGTGTTTTTTTTTAAACTTACTCCTATTGCTCTTGCTTTATCCGTTGTGAGAGATTTGTCTCATTTGGAAAAGGAGTTCCCTATGGAGATACACATGTGTGCTTCCAAACACTTCTATACCTGGGGCCCAGAGAGAGTTACCGTAAAAAATGTAATACGCACCCGACGCCCTTTAAAAAAACGCTCCTCTTTTGCTCACAGACGCCGTGTTCTACTACCACGCCTCTGTGGCCGTCGCCAAGCTGCGGCTGCCCCGCTGGGCCGAGCCGTTCGCCGTCGGGCTGACCGTGGTGCTCATCGACCTGCCGTACGACATCACGAGCGTCAAGTTCGTGCACTGGACATGGCACGACACGGACCCCAACATCGCGGACCGCCACTACTGGGTGCCGTGGAACTCGTACTACTTCCACGCCACCTTCGCCGCCGGCTTCACCTGGTGGTTCCACGTCCTCCGCGACCAGCGCTGGCAGAGCACCGGGTGAGTGGCTCTAGTCGTCTTAGTGTCGCCGTGCAGACAGACATCCTCTCGATGTCACCGGAACATGTTGTTTATTTGCCTCCTACAACAATGCCGTACTCCCCTGGCTCGCAGTGTGGGCAAGAACCTCTTGAACATGGTGCTGGCCTCTCTCCTGGGGACGCCCACGGGCATCCTGTTCTTCACCGCGCTGTACCACCCGATGCACGACCTGTACAAGGTGCACAGCGAGGTCACCTTCTTCGTCGTGTTCGCCGTGTTCCTGGCCCTGGCCTGGGCGGGCAGCTACGCCGCCGAGGCCAGGTCGCCGTCGTCATCAGCGTCCCCGACGGCTGAGCGGCCGTCCTGGTGCACCTGGCTGCTGCTGCTGCATCTCGTGCTGCACTACGCGCTGTGGCTGGGCATGACGATCGTCGGCAACCCCGAGAAGGAGGTGTCGACCGGGCTGCACGAGAGGATCGGCAAGTGCGGCATCAAGGTCCCCCTGCAGACGGCCTCCGGACTGGTGAGTACTTTATTCGAAAACATCACTGTACACCCTCCAAAAAAATCAGTGGAAAAAACAGAAAACAAAACCAGAGATTTGAAAAAAGAAACAGGAAAAAACAGGAAAAATATCAGAAAAACATTTTCAAAACCAGGAAAAAATTAGAACAAAATTAAGAATAAAAATTAGAAAACTCGGTGTACGCTTAAATTTATAGTGAAGTACCCCTTGGGTCTGGTGGGGTTTCGCTAACGCGTCGGTCCTTGTCGCAGGTGCTGGAGAAGAGCAAGTACCTCTGCAAGACCGACTACGACGAGAAGTACTTCGACTTCCACTGCCTTCCCGGGGGGAAGCCCCCCAAGGACGGCGCGCACTGGTACACCATCTGCGGCACGCCCTTCGAGAACCGAGCCGAGTACGTGCTCATCATGTCCGCCATCGCCGTCCTCGCTGCCATCGTGTTCTACACGATGCACTTCAAGGCCGGGCCCGACAGCGCGCTCAACCCCAAGCCGACGGCGGCCGCCCGCAAGCTCAAGACCAAGTAGACTGATTTATATGGACTGATCTCAAAAAACTAACTGAAACCTTCCCCCTGTCGTGATAACAATAAAGGGGACACTTCTAGTCTGTCTGAACAGTAGTCCTAAGGCAATCTCTCACTTGTGTCGCCTTACGGCGAAAATATTCTT